TCAATCCCTGGCCCCAGTCATGGGCATGCAAAAGGCAACCAATCGATGTGTCTCTCTCACACTGATGTTTCTCTCTCTCTCTCTCTCTCTCTCTCTCTCTCTCTCTCTCTCTCTCTCTCCTTTTCTCTCTCTCCGTCTCCCTTCTACTCTCTCTAAAAATCAATTGAAAAAATAGCCTTGGGTGAAGATTAACAACAACAACTAAATGAATAAATAAATAAATACATACATACATACATACGGGCACTAATCCCATTCATGAGGTCTCTGTCCTCATGAACTAGTTCCCTCCCGAAGGTCCCACCTCCAAATACTATCACATTGGGGGTTAGGTTTCAACATATTAATCTGAGGGGGGCACAGTTAGTCTATAGCAACCTCAATCAAGCTGGAAAAAAGAGATAATCAAATGTAATATATAGACCTTGTTTGGATCCTTATATGAACAAACCAATTGATCATCTTTTGAGATCATCTGAGAAATTTTATAATGGGCTAGGTATTAGATGCTATTAAGGAATTATTAAAGTTGTAAGACAACTGCCCTGGCCAGTTTGGCTCAGCAGTTAGAGCGTCGGCCTGCGGACCAGAGAGCCCGGGATTCAGTTCCCGTTAAGGGCACACAGCTCGGTTGCAGTTCGTCCCCAGCCCCGGTTGGGGTCGTGTGGGTGGCAACCACTCAATGGTCTCTCTCACATTGATGTCTCTCATTCTCTCTCTTCCTCCCTCTCTCCCTCCCGCTCTATTTGAAGATGTCCTCAGGTGAGGATAAAAGTAAAATAAAGTTGTAAGATAACATAATGACAGCAGGGCTATGTAAGAAAGTATCTGTACTTTTTAGACACGCCAATGAACATACAGGGGTGAAATAACGTGACATCTGCAACTGGCTTTCAAATACTTCAGCGAATTTTTTAAAAGAATGAAAACAGAAAGACAAAAAAAGATAACTGAAACAAGACTGGCAAAATCTTGATAATTATTAAATGTGGTTCATGGGTATATGATTCTCTTTACTTATGAGTACATTTGAAAATATTTACTAATTTTTAAATTCACAAATCTGACCATGTAACTTCCAAGTATAAGATACCTTCAGTGGTTCCCCAAGGTCCACAGAGCGAAAGTTCAAATCTGCAGCATGGTCTATAAAGCCCTCCATAACATGGTCCCCAGTCTCATCAAATTCCAGCCACTGAAGCTATCACACCTCTACGCTTCTGCATCTGCTGCTTCCTCTGCCTTTGTTATCACACTTCACCCTGCACCTTTCTGGCCTGAGAAGAGTTTTCTGATCACAACACAGGTCTCTGTGAAGCCTTTCTTGACTTCTCATATTTAGTCTACTTTGGTTTGGAACCTTATTGTCCTATCATATAATATCTTGGGATTTTTTTTCCCTTTATTGATTTTTTTAGAGAGAGAGGAAGTGAGAGAGAGAGAAATATCAATGAGAGAGAACATCGACTGGCCGCCTCCTGCATGCCCTGCACTGGGGATCGGGCCCACAACCTGGGCATGTGCCCTGACCAGGAATTAAACCAGTGATCTCTTGGTGCATGGGTCGATGCTCAACCACTGAGCCACACCAACCGGACATATCTTGGGTTCTTGTCTACAGCCTTAGAGTCTTTGCTTAGGTTCAAACTCCTGTACCCAAGACCTCTGACACTAGGATTTCTAAAGCCTTAATATCTCGCCCTTCCACGGCTCTCGCTGCTCTGCTTCCCACTGATCTCAGAGTCACTGTCCCAGGACACAGCATTTAAGGTCCTAACATTGAAGCCCTTCCTATTATCTTTTACCATTCTCAACTCAGTTTCACTCACTCACATCAAATTCTTTAATTCCCCTCTAATGCTCGGCCTATTGAAAGATGTGCCTCTCTCCATTTGTGAGCTGAAAATTTCTCCTGATCGTAGGGCCTGGCTGCTGAGTACAAGAGCAGTGTTGGTGTAATACCAGTCCCAGAAACGGAAATAGCTTAGCTCCTTAGTACGATTAAACATAAGATCCAGTGCCAACAAATTGGAAAAGCTCTTGAAAGTATTCAGGAGATTCTTTCAAATTGCCGTAAGTGTCCATCTACCTCTTCTTCCTCTAATTAAGACTGCCTGGCCCTGGCCAGTTTGGCTCAGTGGTTGGAGCGTCGGCTTGTGGACCAGAGAGACCGGGGTTCGGTTCCCGCTAAGGGCACGTACTTTGGTTGCAGTTTGTCCCCGGCCCTGGTTGGTCATGCGGGTGGCAGCCACTCGATGTGTCCCTTCACATCGATGTTTCTCTCTCTCTCTCTCTCTCTCTTCCTCTCTCTCTCTCTCTTCCTCTCTCTCCCTCCCACTCTATCTGAAAAAAAAGGAAAAATGTCCTCAGATGAGGATAAAAAAAAAGACTGCCTTTCTCTCAAGTACTAGCACTCAAGTTAAATTTTAGAAATTCATTCAATTTCCTTTTGTTTAAAACTAACATTACAAAAATATTTTCTATTTTTCATTGCTTATGTGTAATGTTTCATCTACGCTGTGGATTAAGTAGGATTTTATCTGCTGTTCTGGAAAGATATCCACTGCACATAAATGCTTTCTCTGATAAAATCGTCCAAAACTCCAAATCATTCATTTAAATACAGTTTTAAAAAATACAATCATAGCCCTGGCCGGTTTGCTCAGCGGTTAGAGTGTCAGCCCATGGGCCAGAGACACCTGGGTTCGGTTCCACTAAGGCCGGGTTTGGTTCCCACTAAGGGCACGTACCTCGGTTGCAGTTCGTCCCTGGTCCCTGTTGGGGTCGTGTGGGTGCTAACCAGTTGATGTGTCTCTCTCACATCGATGTTTCTCTCTCTCTCTCTCTTCCTCCCTCTCTCCCTCCTGCTCTATCTGAAGATAAATGCAAAAATGTCCTCGGGTGACAATAAAAAAAAAAAAAATCAGCCCTGGCCGGTTTGGCTCAGCAGTTAGAGCGTCGGCCTGCGGTCCAGAAAGACCTGGGTTCGGTTCCCGCTAAGGGCATGTATCTTGGTTGCAGTTTGTCCCCGGCCCTGGTTGGGTTGTGTGGGTGGCAGCCACTCGATGTGTCCCTTTCACGTCAATGTTTCTCTCTCTCTCTCTCCCTCCCACTCTATCTGAACAAAGAATGGAAGAATGTCCTCGGGTGAGGATAAAAAAAGAAATCATAAAAGAATTAAAGTTACCTTGCCAATCATGTACAAACTGTATTTTAGCATACCAGATAGACCTAGTGGGTAAGGGAAAATTCTTTACAAAACAATTCCAGCGAATACATGTAGAAGAAATGACAAACTAGAAAAAATCACCAGTTTTAAACTCTTATGAAGTCATCGCTTCACATAATGACCATCCACGGATGCTGAAAGCAATAGAAGAAAGACAAATGAGGAGCTTTACAATGCAAAGATCCAGTGGTCAGCAGTCTGCACTCACTGCTCAATCGCAGCAGCACCGAAACTGGAACGACCAGACGCTGGAATAGCATGTGCAAAGGTTTGGATTCTAGAGGAAGAGAGCACGATTCTCCAAGAATGGAAATTGGGAACTCAGAATGACTGAGCTACAGAGTTTGAGATGGAGAGTTTTGATAAATGAAGCTGATGCAGGAGCAAGATATAGGGCCTTGTAAGCTACTCAAAGAACTTTGCACTTTCTCTTCAGGGGACTTGGAAGTCAACAAAGGGTTGTATTTTAGAAAGAGTCCTTTGGCTGTAAAGTGGAGAATGATTTGGGGGTAAGAAAGTGGGGGCAGGTGCATAACTAGGAAAGAGGTGCAACAGTTCAGGTGAGAGGTGATGGTGGCCCGGACCAGGGTAGTGGCAGTAGGAACAGAAGTATATGGATACGGTGGGTACTTAACAAATCGACCTGAGAGGGTTTCGCGGTAGAATAACTAGACGGAGCGTGGTATGAAGGTTTCAGGCTTGGGCACTGGAGTTGATGGTGGTGCCATTCCCTGAGATAAGAAACGAACAAGGAGAAACTAGTTTAGGCAGAGGATGGGAAATGAGGAACTGCAGATGCCTATGCACACAGGCAGGTGGACACACGGCTCCGAAGCTCAGAGACGAGGTCTGCTTTGGACATACATTTGTGGGAAGTGAGAGTACAGGAAGCATTTGAAGCTATGAGAATGGATAAGATGGCCCTGAAAAACAAACAGCAAAGGATAGCACATGTCCCCCCAGCCCCGTAATTTAGCCTACTCACAATTCCAGGCCGATGGCAGAAGAGAAGACAGATCAGTGAACTGAAGCGTAGGAGGTGAGGAAATAAAAGGTGAATGAGGAGGCAGGAGAGATGAGAGGAACTGAAGAATGTGAATTTGTGTAGCACTTATGCCTGCTGTCCAATGAACCCTTTACTTATTCTTGTCCTATGTTATAACATATACGTAGGATTCCCTTCTTCAAGAAGTGCCTCACAAGCATGTCTAGTCTACCCAGTAAAACTCTAAGTTTCTTATGGAGCTTTTTTTCCTTTGTATCCCTCACCATACACACAGAGTCAAAGAGCTGTTTAAGATCAGGAGTCAGGAGGCAGCTGATAGATGTGTCTCTCTCACATCAATGTTTCTCTCTCTCTCTCTCTCTCTCTCTCTCTCTCTCTCTCTCTCTCCCCCCCCCCTGAGGATTAACCAAAAAGAAGAAGAAGAATGACCTCCTAAGTAGGCAATACCTTTGTGGCATCACAATGGTCAAGGATATGGTGCTTAGCAAGCCAAACTAGCCAATCCCACAACTAGCTGGGTTATATGCCAATGTTGGTTCACAAAGGGAAATAGATTTATCTCAAGAACCAGGACCTGGTATAAGGCAGTCCCTCTGGCGGGGGGTGGGGGGGAACAAGCATACTCACACTATACATTAAAAGGTGGATTTGTGCACACATTTTTAAAATAAAAGGAGTTTTGCCCTGACCGGTTTGGCTCAGCGGTTTGAGCGTCAGCCTGTGGTCCCGAGAGACCCGGGTTCAGTTCCCACTAAGGGCACGTACCTCAGTTGCAGTTTGTCCCCGGCCCAGGTTGGGTTGTGCGGATGGCAACTACTCGATGTATCCCTTTTACGTCGATGTTTCTCTCTCTCTCTCTCCCTCCCACTCTATCTGAACAAAATATCAAAAAATGTCCTCGGGCCCTGGCCGGTTTGGTTCAGCGGTTAGAGCATCAGCCTGCGGTCCCGAGAGACCTGGGTTCGGTTCCCTCTAAGGGCATGTACCTCGGTTGCAGTTTGTCCCCGGCCCTGGTTGGTCGTGTGGGTGGCAGCCACTCGATGTGTCCCTTTCACATCGATGTTTCTCTCTCTCTTCCTCTCTCCCCCTCCCACTCTACCTGAACAAAAAATAGAAAAATGTCCTCAGGTAAGGATAAAAAAAAAAAAAAAAAAATGTCTTCGGGTGAGGATAAAAAAAAATTAAAATAAAAGGAGTTTTGCCTGGCTGGTGTGGCTCGGTGGATTGAGCATTGTCCCTTGGATTCATAGGTTCCAGTTCAATTCCTGGTTGGGGCACATGCCTGGGTTGCAGGCTCGATCCCCAGTAGGGGGCATACTGGAGGCAGCCGATAGATGTATCTCTCTCACATTGATATTTCTCTCTCTCTAAACAATCAATGAAGACATCAAAAAAGAAAAACAAAACAAAAACAAAAAACAAAAGGAGTTTACATCCACAAAGAATATATACCCATCAAATTATGACCTGATAAACTATCTTTCTCCACTCAAGATGTTTCTATAAAAAGCCTATCTAATCACTCCCCACTCCCCCCAAAAAATTGAAAACATTTATTTGTAAAGATATATGCACCTCTATGTTCATTGCAGCATTATTCATGGTGGCCAAGACATGGACGCAACCGAAGTGTCCTTCGATAGAGGAGTGGATAAAGAAGATGTGGTACATATACACTACGGACTACTACTCAGCCACAAGAAAAGATGAAATACTCACCCTGGCCGGTTTGGCTCAGTGATTGGAGCGTCCGTCTGCGGATCAATGACTCGCAGGTTTGATTCTGGGCAAGGGCATGTACCTCTGTTGTGGTTCACCCCTGGCCCTGGTCGGGGTTGTGCGGGAGACAACCAGTAGATGTGTCTCTCTCACTCGATGTTTCACTCTCTCGCCCTCTCTCTCCCTCTCCCACTCTATCTGAAGATAAATAGAAAAAAGAAAAAGAAAAAAAAAAAGATGAAATACTGCCATTTCAACAACATAGATGGATCCTGAGAATGTCATGCTAATCAAAATAAGTCAGAAATAGTTAAGAGCCATATGATTTCACTTATATGTGGGACATAAAACTGAAAGCAGCCCTGGCCGGTCTGGCTCAGTGGTTAGAGTGCTGGCCCACTGGACCAAAGGGTCACGAGTTTAATTCTCGGTCAAGGTCATGTACCTGGGGTTGCATGCAACTAGGTTCAATCACCCAGTTGGGGTCGAGCAGGAGGCAACCAATCAATGTGTCTCTCTCACATTGATGTTTTTTTCTCTCTCTCCGTCCCTCCCTTCCACTCTATCTAAAAATCAATGGAAAAATATCCTCAGGTGAGGATTAACAACAACAACAAAACTGAAAGTAACAAATGAACAAACAAGACAAACAAAAACTCATAGACACAGAAAACAGTATGGTGGTTCCCAGAGGGAAGGGGGTGGGGGGACAGTGAAAGGTAAAGGGGGCCACATATATGGTGATGGAAGGAGATTTGACTTTGGATGGTGAACACACAAAGCAATATACAGATGATGTATTATAACATTGCACATGTGAAACACATAATTTTATTAACCATTGTCATCCCAAGCAATTTTTTAAATGGCAAGTAGAAATTTTTTGAAGGCCAACAGTTTTTAAAAATATATATTTTGCCCTGGCCGGTTTGGCTCAGCAGTTAGAGCATCGGCCTGCGGTCCACAGAGACCCAGGTTCGGTTCCCGCTAAGGGCATGTACCTCAGCTGCAGTTTGTCCCCAGCCTTGGTTGGGTCGTGCAGGTGGAGGCCACCCGATGTGTCCCTTTCACGTCGATGTTTCTCTCTCTCTCTTCCTCTCTCTCCCTCCCAGTCTGTCTGAATAAAAAATGGAAAAGTGTCCTTGGGTGAGGATAAAATAAAAAATATATATATGTTTCATTGATTTTAGAGAGAGAGGAAGGGAGAGGGAGAGAGAAACAGTGATGTGAGAAAAAACATTGATTGGATGCCTTCCATGTGTGCCCCAACCAGGGACCAAACCCACAACCCAGGTATGTGCCCTGACCGGGAATCTAGCCAACAACCTTTCAGTGCTTGGGACAACACTCAACCAATGGAGCCACACCAGCCAGGTAGTCACCCCAATGAATTTTTTTTATCTTCACCTGAGGATATTTTTTCCATTTATTTCAGATAGAGTGGGAGGCAGAGAGAGGGAAAGAAAGAGAGAGGAAGAGAAAAACATCAACATGAGAGGGACACATTGACTGGTTGCCTCCCGCACGACCCCGACCAGGGCCAGGGACCGAACTGCAACCGAGGCACGTGCCCTTGGATGGAATCGAACCTGCGACTCACTGGTCTGTGGGCCGACGCTCTACCGCCAAGCCAAACTGGCCAGGGCACCCCAGTGAATTTAATAAAATATTTTTAAGTCTACTTAACCAGAACTGGGGGCAAGAGAACTGGTGAAAAGAAACTTACTACTACCTATAATGTTTCAATATTTTTTACAAGAAGAAGTCTTCACATATTACCTAAATAATTAAAAATAAGCAATACAAAGAACTCCCAGAAAAGACGAAAGAAACAAAATACCATTCTTCCCCTTTCCAGGCTCCTTGCAGATAACGACTCTTCATCCTTTTATTCACAGATCACTATTTCAGAAGGCCAAATTCTAAAGCAGTTAAGTGAGGATTTCTTTCTTTTCTTCCTGGGACTACACTCTGGTCTTTCACTGAAATTTGAAAAATACCCTAGTTTCATGAAAAAAAAAAAAAAAAGTAGATGCCCTCACTTAAGGTAGGTTAATTCTACAGATGTATGCTTTCAGGTTTTTGAAGCTTGAACTAATGTCCCCTAAAGTTCCTTAGATTTGATGTTTTAGGTAGGAATGCCTTGGCTCCCTGAAACATTTCTCTTTGCCCTCTGGTAACATGGAGGACAAAGGCTGATCCAGATCAAGCCAACTTCCACTTAAGAATACGTTTGGACTATGTGAAAAGTTCTCACTTTAAGATAAACAAGCTTCCTTATGACGTCAAAGCACTGACCCTATGCAAAAACTAGAAATTGAACCGATTTCGTGTATTGTAGCACGTCTGTTGGCTCAGATCCTATATACAACAGCAGCTAAAGGTAGATGAACAGCAGCAGTCCTTATTTGATGGACTGATTTCAACGTAAGACAAATTTTCTAGTTATGTTGAAAAGATTTAAGCTCCACCCTGCCCTTCTTGATATTTTCAAATAGTTACTTGTCTGACTAAACTAATGGCATATTGATCAAGTTTGCAGATGCTAAGCTGGAAAAGATAGCTAGTACAACTGGATGACATTCAAAATCCACAATAAGCTTGACAAGCAGGAAAAATAGGCTAAATTTAAGAAGCTGAAAAGAAAGAGATCAGCTTAAAGACTTGTACTAGGTCCTAAGACACAACCGTGCAAATACCAAATGGATGAATACAGCAGCAGAGTTAAAGATCTACAGATTTTAACTCCCTACAGGCTCAACATAAGTCAACAGAGTGATTGATGAAGCTGTCAAAAAAAGAAAAAAGAAAAAAAGCTAAATTAATCTTGACCTGCATGAATAGTAGCATGGGGTCTAGAACAAAGAAAGTCATTGACCCACTCCTCTGTATTGATCAGAACATGTACCTGGAATAATGCATTTCATTCTAGATGCCAATTTTTCAAAAGAGATATTAACGAACTGAAGTATGAACAGAACACAATAACCAGAATGATGAGATCTTAAAACTGCCATGGGAATAATGGCAATAAAAGGAATTGTAGATGTTTAGCACAGAGAAGACAAAACTTAGGAGAGGAAACCACTGTTTGCAAATATAAATGATTGTCAGGTATCAGAGCTGCCCGACAATGGAAGAAACTGACTTTGAAGAAATTTCCTCAAATAATAAACTGTTCTAGCATAGACCTAGTCACTTGGGGATATTGAGAGAGATTCAAAAGCCTGGGATAACTCTTAGGTCTCTCTGCTTAAAAAGTCCAAAAGCTATGACACTCCAGTAGCAATAAGTATATCTAGCACCCAAATCCTGGTTTCTAAATATCATGCCTCACTTAAGAGAGCCAGATTCCTTGGAGAAATAGTTGATTCCAGGGCTAGGACAGGGAAAATACAAGATAATCCAAAAATGTTCTTGTTGTTCTAGAAAATAAGAAAGTGCTAAAGAATGGTGGGGACATGTCAATGGACACAGAAAGGGAGAAACATCGATGTGAGAGAGCAACATCAATCTGCTGCCTCCTGCACACACACCCCACCCCCCACTGGGGATCGTCTGAAACCTGGGCACGTGACCTGATCAGGAATCACAGAATGATGCAAAACCAACTGAGCCACTCCAGTCAGGATCAGACAAAATAGATTTTAAAACAAAGGCTGTAACAAGAGTCAAAGAAGGACCCAGCAATTCCAGTTCTGGGTATTTATCCAAAGAAACCCGAACACTAATTTGAAAAGACATATACATCCATCCCTATGTTCATTCCAGCATTGTTTACAGTGGTCAAGCTATGGGCGCAACCAAAGTGTCCATCTACGGACTAATTAATAAAGAAGATGTGGTACATTTATAATGGAATATTACTCAACCATAAAAAATAATGAAATCTTGCCATCTACAGCAACATGGATGGACCTAGAGGGTATTATGCTAAGTGAAATGGGTCAAACAGAGAAAGACAAATGTCATGAAATTTCACTATGTGTGGAATCTAAAAAACAAAACAGGAACAAACTCATAGATACGGAGAACATTTTGATGATTACCAGATGGGAGGTGGTTG